GCGATCTTCAGATCTCAGCCTCCTGAGTAGCTAGGATTACAGGTGTGAGCCACCAGCGCCCAGCTTTAAATATAATTTTAAAAAATCATATCAGGGGTGGAAAGGTGGCTCAGTGGTAGAGTGCTTGCCTTGCATGCATGGAGGCCCTGGGTTCGATTCCTCAGTGCCACATAAGGAGAAAAAGCTGGAAGTGGCACTGTGCCTCAAGTGGTAGAGCGCTAGCCTTGTGCTGAAGAGCTGAGGGACAGCGCCCAGGCCCAGAGTTCAGGCCCCATCACTGACAAAAATAAATAAATAAAATAAAATAAAAACATATCAAAAGGAAAAAAACCCCAAGCCATTAGATCTCCCCTCAGCCATATGAAACTGGTATGATTATCACTAAGGCTCTGAGTTCATACAGCGAGGTGGGGCTCTGCTGTTTCCCCCGGCTCCTCAGCCCATCAGAGGTGGCCATTGTTTCTGATATGCATGGGACATGCAGTTCTATTTGGAGAGGACATTTTCTTTTTCATAGAAGAGGCTCTGTGTGAAAACCAGCACTAGCCAAACAATTAGAGCCAATAAAAGCTACCTGAGCTGGGGATGTAGCTCAGTGGTAGAGCACTTGCCCAGCATGCACGAAGCCCTGAGCTCAGTCTTCAGCAAACCTTCCCCAATAATAATAGTCATTGCTATGGGCGAGATGGCCTTCCAGAGCAGGACAATTCCTTTCCCATAATGGGTCCCCTTGGGTAAGGCAGGGACTTTTAAATCCACATGTCACCATATAACAAGTATTTACTGAGTACCTATGGGTTTATGTGGAAATTGCCTCCCCTCAAGTTAATTTCCCTCTTTGAAATTTGTCTATTAAAAAGAGATTGACCACATAGTGGGCTCTCACAGGAGGGGATTTGCCTGGAGTCCCCCCCCCCAGTGTATAGAAAGTTAGAAAATAATTAAAAATCAAAATGTGCTCTAAATCAAAATCAAAAGACATCCGCTAGCACACTGGTGTGAAAATTGCAAGAGTTGGGAAATTAATGAGACTATAGCCTGAGGTGAAGTCTGCTGTTAGCCTCTGTAATTACCCAGAAAGGGGGAGTCATCAGTGTGTCCTATGGGTGAGCAAAGAAAATGATTTCCGGACATCAATGGAGTCATTAAGAATGCAAAAGCGCTAATGCACTGGGGCCACAGTCAGGGAACACTTAGACCTGGGCTCCAACAAGAGCAGCCCAGACAGACTTTGGGGTGTGTTGAGGCTCCTGCCTCATGAGAAACACGGAAGATGCGTGGAGGCTGTGGTAGGAAAGGGAGAGGACTGATGACTCCTGCTTTCCCACTGTGGCAATTTATATAAATTGCCTCATTTAGAAGATGCCAGAGTAGTCCAGCCTGTGTCCAGCCCTGACACAGAATGACAGAGGCCCAGCCGTTGTCATTCCAGGAACTCTGCCACATACAAATGATACATATAAGATCATTTAAAAGCAAACAGAAAAAAATAATCACTGTTAATGTTATTTCCAACATTCTCCTTGGCAGTCCTGACGCGTGGTCTTGGAGATGTACACTTACTAAGCAGGTACTCTACCATATAAACCACATCTCCATCCCCTTTGTAGGGTCCCGTTTTATGCCAAGGCCAGCCTGGGAAGCAATCCTTCTACTTGTACTTCTCCATGTTGTTGGAGATGACAGACTCACCAGGGCGCACAGCCATTGTGTTTCCCCAGTGCCACCATGAGCAGCCTATTGATTGAGATGGAATTTAGTGAACTTTTGTGTCCTAAGTCACCTATTTTGGCTTTCCAGTAGGTAGGATTACAGGCCTGAGCCATCACAGCTAGATTCTTTCTTTTTTTTTTTAAATCTAGAACCCTTCTGTTAATGATAACATATATGTCATAAACACTTTTATGTATGCTTATTGAACATCCATCTTCACTATCATTCATATAGCTGCAAGCATCCAACTGCCATTGCTTTGCAGGAACCTTTTTCCAATCCATCTCCTAGGAATGGTTGGGTAAAAACATATAGCTATTTAAGAAGTCAAGTTTGTTAAAGAACATTTCACAAACAGCAAAATGTACCCTTTTAGGTACAAGTTCTCACTGCAACTAAGTTCTATGACATTTATAAGCTGTCTTACAAATGATGCTTTTGATGCATGCTTTTAAATGATGTGCTGGTCAAGTTACACCTGTTCCCATCACCATCTGCCTATGATAGGCAATGTTGGGCATTATCTTCAAACCACTGAAATTCCAAATTTTCCATTCTGCAGATGAGTAGTTTCATATTTATGTTTCACTTCCTTGCTTCCTAATAAAGTGGCATATTTTGTAGGTTTATTATCTATTTTTGTTTTATAGTGTGAATAAAACATATCATCCTATGCCTATTTTTCCTCTTTTTATCAGTCTGCCATTTAAAAAAGTTGTTAAGTAGTTGCACAAAGGAAGTGGTAAACTTTATAAATGCAATGCTTCTTGACAGGGTCACCCCTCTCAGCGTTCTCACCGATTCTTCCCAACCCACTGCTTCTCTCACTTCTCTTAACTTCTTGACTATTCTTCACATCTATTCCTCTCCCCTTGGCCCCACCCTACCCCTTGCATTTACCCATTGCCTGGTGCTTGATTGGCCTATTTTTAGCCTACTATTTTTCTCCTTTTTAGGGATTGGTAAGAATTTTTAGCAGGGCTGGGAGAGTGATCTGTCTTGATGCAAATAGTTGTGTTTTGTTTTTTTGTCATTGACCTCTAATAATGACTGCTGATCAATTTTTCCCACCAACACAGATTTCTGTAATCTCTACTTCTTTCCCACTTTGAAGTCTTCTCCATAAATGCCTTCCCACACCATGATTACTTAAATAATTACTTCTTTAATTCATTGAGAATTTATTTTGGCATATAGTGATCATTAACAAATGATTGTTCCAGTCTTATTTGTCAAATCTTTTCCCCACCAGTTTGAGAAGTAGCCTTTATTGTATATTATATTTACTATGCTCTCTCTTTTTGTTCTGTTTCACAAAATTCTTTCTTTATTTGAAAAAAGTCAATACTTTTTAACCACTCTTTTGGAGGGAATTTACTGCAGATTGAACTCACAGCCTCACATTTACAGAGCATTTATCCTACCATTTGAGTCACAAGCAGGGTGTTATTTATGTCCAGGCTTCCCTGGGCTGTGATCCTCTTACTTGTGCTTGCCCATATATAGCTAGAGATGACAGGCACATACCACCATATTAGTTGAGATGGCATCGAAAGAACTTTTACGTCCAGACTGGCCTCAGACTTTGATCTCTAATTCCCAGATAGCTAGAATTACAGTCATGACCCACCACACTCAGCTCACACTATTCTTTAGACAACATTTTATAAAATGTATTATATAGTATCTATTATGGCAAACATTGGTTTTCATGACTATGATTTTTCAGACTGGATAAACTTAAAATCCTTTCTCAATTTAAACATTCAAAATGTATTTTATTATATATATTATATTTATATTATATACTATGTCTATATTATATATTATGCATATAAATATAGAATAAATATAGAATAAGTAAATAAACAATATTATATATTATATATAGAATAATTACATATAATTATGTATATAATATATATAACTATAAGTAATTATATATTTATTCTATATTTATATGTTTTCAGGCTAATAAGAATATTTCACATCTTGAAAATGAATATATCTCTGAGAAACATTCTAAGTGGCTTCATTTAGTTAAGTTCTCTTTTATGTGATGTACTAATGTTTGAGTTTCTTAAAATAAGTTCTACATTGTTTGATGTGTGTGTTATTCTAGCTACATGACATCATGTCAGTCATCAAACCTGTCATGTTCTTGTGGTTACTATTAAGCACTGAGTCTGTTTGTTCCATTTTATTCTCCAACTGGTAGCTCCTATTTTCAACATTATATTAATTAATTTCTGTTTTTTTAAAAGAAGCTTTATTACAAGCTAGCTGAAATAACATTGAACACTTCCTCCCTTCAGTGTCCAAAGAAGATAACTATGTCATTCACAAATACTTATCATTTTATCTTCACATGGCTGATCTTATAGTTCATTTCTTTTCTGGCATTTCACTTTGTAGAATCGTTTTGATAATACAAGATAATTCTTCACATATATTAGTTTACATGCTACTTTTTAAAAATCAGGGATGGATATTAATACAATTATTCTTCTGATGAACAAGTCTTGCACTTTTGACATGAATCTTTTTTGGCACATTTTTGTCCAGATTTTATTTGAAACATTTGAAATTTTCACTTGAAATATTTATACCTATAATGATTGACTTTTGTCTTCCTTGATGTGATACCTTTGTAAGTTATGGTATTGAGGCTGGGCTAGTCACATGTTATGAAATTGAGGACCTGCCACATTTTCCCATGCTCTGGAAGTATTTACATGACCTGATCACACCTGTTGTTTAATGAGAAGGCCTAACTCACCTGAATCAGCTGCTTCACGGCTTGGAGGGGAGGCAGCAGCCATCATACAGTTTCAAAGCCTCTCACACTAAGTATTCAGAGTTTATATCAAAATTTCAAAGTTAATTCAACCATTTTGGAAATCAGCGGAAAGCTAACTCACCTGTTTTTTTTTTTTAAGGAACAAAGTGGAAAGATGAAAACTAAATCTCAGACATATTTGTTGACACCAAGTTTATTAATTCCAGGATGGTGCTCAACACATGACTCAGTCCTCTTCATAGGCTGCAGATACTTCTACTTCTATTGTAAGTGCCTAGGAAAGAGACTGAATTGAAAAGTTAGATGAGGAGAGAAGATGGAACTTACCTAAATCAACTAACTGTCTTTGAGCACAACACAAAGTGTTTGTGTTCTTGTCAAGTTCTGAGGCTGAGACCCACCTCACTCATGATGGCTTCACTTACATAGTCTTCAGCCTACAGTTTACTGGAGCTCCACTGACAGCATTTTCTTTTCCTCCATGCAGGATGTCTGTGTCAAGGCTTACCTGGCCCTTCGCCATCACACTAACTTATTGATCATCCTGTTTTCCATGATGCTGATGACCGGAATGCCCCAGTTAACCAGCAAAGAAGATATTGAATATATCCGGGGTGCCCTGACAGTGGGGAAAAATGAAGAGGATGCTAAAAAGTATTTCCTTGATCAGATAGAAGTTTGCAGAGACAAAGGATGGACTGTGCAATTTAACTGGTTCCTACATCTTGTTCTTGGTATCAAACAAGGAGAGAAACACTCAGCCTAATACTTGGGACTAGTTCAAAACAAAACAAAACTTAAAACCATACTGTTCTCCAGCTTACAAATCAATATGTCAGTCATCAGATGTAGATTTAAACATGTAATAGGACATGGTGGAATTTTTTTTCTTTTCTTGTGCTGGTACTGGGAATTGAATGCAAGACCTCACACTTTTGCCTGCCTTTTTCATTTATGGCTTGCTCTTAGCCATACTTCCATTTTCCCTTCTGACACTTTCCTGGTTAGTTGGAAATTAGAGTCTCTTAGACTTTTCTGTCCCAGCTGGCTTTAAAATGCCTCAGTCATCAGATCTCAGGTTACAGGCGTGAGCCACAAGCAATCTGGCTTGGAAATTCTTTAGGATAATTGGTGATCTTTGTTTTCATCAGTTTACTCTCAAATTTGGCTCTAAAAGTTATGATCATTACGACCTCTGTTTCATTCCATAAATGATGCTTCCAAATGTCCCCTTACTGTCTGAAGCTGTTACATGTATGCTTCAAGCAGAAAGAGTAAGTTAGTCTTTTCTGTTGCTTTTGAAAGCAGAGTCCTACACAGTCCTGTGCAGCTAAAATGAACCAACACAGAGAGGAATAGCTGAACCCAGGGCCTCAGCCTTCTCTGGATGATTTGGCTGTAGAGTTATGAATAGGAAAACCAGAGATGAGATCATTTACCTCAACTCTGCCCAGACAGTGAATGATCTCAAACAATTTGAGTAGTCTCACGCTCAGGAGCAGGAAGTAGCTAGAGGGACTCCAGCTAGCATATATCCTTCCTGTTTTTCCAGCCTCTTCTGTGCTCAAGTGCCACTCCCCCACATTCTGTATGGATTCCTGAAATCTTCTGCTAGCACAGCCTCACCCTAGAACTCAGAATTAGCTAAAAAAAATTCTAGGATTACCTAAATTATAGGTACTGATTTATGAAGCTGTTGAATGGATTTTTAAGTATATTATCAAAGGAAGCATTCTAAAAAACATGACAGTATAGAAATGGTTTTATATTTTGATCTGAAGAGGATTCTTCTTTACTTTTGTAATAGACAAAAATATTTGCTATCTGTAAAGGATTCAAAGTTGGGAAATTAGAAGTTGCCTTCTAATTTCTCAATTTAAGCTTCTCTTTTTAAAAATTTCATTGTCAAGGTGATGTACAGAGGAGTTACAGTTACATAAGTAAGGTAGTAAGTACACTTCTTGTCGAACCTGTGACCCCCTCCCTCATTTTTCTCTTACTTTCCCTCGCCCCCAATTCCCCAGCCCCCAGTTGTACAGATCATTTCCAACTGATTGTCTTGTGAGTATTGCTGTTGCATTGGTTCACCCTTTGTCTTTTGTCTCACCATTTTGTTGTTCCCCTTCCCTTCCCTAATTCAGATAAATGTATGTGAAATACCAAGGGTACCAAAAATCAAATACAGTGACAACAGGGGATAAACCATAGGGGAAAAATACAAAAAAAACCCACAAGATGTGATCACATAGTACATTAAAAACAACAACAACAAAGAAAACCTCTTGTGTCCATGTCTTGGAGTTCATTTCGCTTAGCATCAGCTATTCTGTTCATCTGCTAGGATTATCCTAAACAGATACTAATTATTACAAATGAGGGAAACTATGGGACCTATGCTTCTTTGGGTCTGGCTTACTTCACTTAATATGATTTTTTACCAAATCTTTCCATTTCCTTATATATGGGGCAGTGTCAGTCTTTCTGATGGAAGCATAGAATTCCATTATGTGTATATGTGTGTGCATATGTGTGTGTGCATATGTGTGTGTGTATATATACCACATTTTCTTGATCCATTCCTCTATGAGGGGCATCTGAGTTAGTTCCAAATCTTAGCTATGGTAAATAATGCTACGATGAACATAGTTGTGCTAGTAGCTTTAGTATGGCCTTGTTTGTGATCATTCAGGTAAATGCCCAGAAGTGGGATTGCTGGGTTATAGGGGAGCTCTATCTTTAGTCTTTTGAGGATCCTACATAGTGATTTCCAGAGAGATTGAACAAGTTTACACTCCCACCAACAGAATAGTAGCATCCCTTTTGGCCACATCCCCTCCAGCATCTGTTGTTATTAGAGTTCTTGATTATAGCCATTCTAACTGGTGTGAGGTGGAATCTGAATGTTGTTTTGATTTGCATTTCTTTTATGGCCAGAGATGTTGAACATTTCCTTATGTGTCTATTGGCCATTCTTATTTCCACTTCAGAGAGGTCTCTCTTTAAGTCGTTAGCCCACTTATTAATGGGATGGTTGTTTCTTTGGGGAATGTTTTTGGGGGATTTAATTTTTTTGAGTTCTAAGTATATTTTAGATATAAGACCCTTTTCTGTTGTATGGCTAGTGAAGAACTTCTCCCAATCTGTGGGCTTTCTATTGACGTTGCTAGCTATGTCCTTTGCCATGCAGAAGCTCTGCAGTTTTATGCAACCCCTTTTGTCCAACCTTTCTTTGATATGTTGTGTTTCTGGGTCTTCATTAAGAAAATGTTGGCCTAGTCTAAGGAACCCTAGGGTTTCTCCTATTCCTTCCTGTAATGTTTTCAGGGTTTCTGCTTTTACCTCAAGGTCTTTGATGTATTTGGAGTTGGTTCTGGTGCAGGGTGATACATAAGGATCTAACTTCAATTTTCTAGATGTGTGTAGCCAATTCTGCCAGCACCATTTGTTGAAGAAGCTGTCTTTATTACATCCTGGTTTTGTTTTTGTTTTTGCTTTCTTATCAAAGAGTAAATGGCCATTGTCTACAGGTTCATTTCTGGGTCTTCAGTTCTATTCCACTGGCCTGCTCTTGTGCCAGTACCAAGCTGTTTTTATCACTACAGCTTTGTAGTAGAAATTGAAGTTTTGTATTGATATTCCTCCATTACTGTTCTTCCTGTTAAGGATTATTTTTGCTGTTCAGGGTCTTTTATTATTCATATGAATTTTGGGATTGCTTCTTCTATTTCACTAAAGAATGAAGTTGGGATATTGTTGGGTATTGCACTGCATTTGTAGATAGCCTTTGGCAGCATTGACATTTTCACAAATCCTCCCAATCCAGGATCATAGGAGATTTTTCCACTTCCTTAGATCTGCTTTAATTTCCTTTTGCACATTTTTAAAGTTTTCATTATAGAAGTCCTTCTTTAATTCCTAGGTATTTTAAGGCTATTACAAAAGGAGTTGCTTTCCTGATTTTAGCTTCACCCTTCTCATTCTTGGCATATAGAAAAGCTATTGATTTTTGTGGATTAATTTTATAACCTGCTACTTTGCTGAAGTTTTAGATCAGCTTGAGTAACTTGGGAGTGGGATCTATGGTGTTCTCTAAATATAGGATCATGAATCTGCAAAGAGGGAGAATTTTATTTCATCTTTCTGTATTTGGATCCCCTTTATGTTTGCCTCTTGCCTTATTGATCGAGCTAAGAATTCTAATCCTATATTGAAGAGGAGTGAAGAGAGCAGTCATCCTTGTCTTATTCATGATTTTAGAGGAAATGGCTTTAACTTTTCACCATTAAGTACAGTGCTAGCTGTAGGCTTGTTATATAATGCCTTTATTATATTGAAGAATGTTCCATGGATTCCTAGTTTCTCAAGAGCTTTAAAGAATCTTTTTAAAATAATAATGATAATAATAATAATACTATTATTATTATTATGTCAGTCATGGGGCTTGAACTCTGGGCCTGAACACTGTCCCTCAAGACAAACACTGTAGCATTTGAGCCACAATACCACTTCTGGTTTTCTGAGTGGTTTATTGGAGATAAGAGTCTCACGGACTTTCCTGCCCTGGGTAGCTTTGAACCGGGATCCTCAGATCTCAGTCTTCTGTGTAGCTAAGATTATAGGCGTGAGCCACCAGCACCTGGCTCATTTTTAAAACATTAAGTATTTTTTTGGGGGTGGGGTCCGGTTGTGGGGCCTGAACTCTGGGCCTGGGCCCTGTCCCTCAGCTCTTCAGCTCAAGGCTAGTGCTCTACCACTTGAGCCACAGCACCACTTCCAGATTTTTTCTTTTTGCTTATGTGGTGCTGAGGAATCAAACCCAGGGCCTCAGGCATGAAAGGCAAGCGCTCTACCACTGAGCCATCTTCCCAGGTCCTAAAATATTTTAAAAGAGTAAAAAATTAAGAATAGCTTGAAAAATCATTTTCCTTGAAAAACATTTTCATTTCTTGAATATCTTCTTATTAGAAGATACTAGAGATATCGTATTAGAGATCATTAAATTACTTATACAATAACCTTAATTGCATAAAGTTAATAAATTCACTAGAAATAAGTATATTAATAGAATCTATGCTGTAGTATAAATAGATATAAATGTTTTATTTTTAAATTTTTCAGCACAGATATTTGCCTGACCTTCACATAACCTAAACTTTCATTTTCTGTCCTTTTCTTTCTTCTTCTCCTTTTCCTGCTTCTCCTTTCTTCTTCTCTTCTTCATTTTTGTCTCCTACTTCTCCTATTCTCCCTCCTCTTCATTCTCTATTTCCTCCTCCATCTTACTCTTCTTTCTTATTTTCTTTCTTCTTTTTCCTCTGTGCTTAACTGTGGCTGCAAATAAAAACCACCAGGGACACTTTTTTTTTGGGTCCGGTTGTGGGGCCTGAACTCTGGGCCTGGGCGCTGTCCCTCAGCTCTTCAGCTCAAGTCTAGTGCTCTACCACTTGAGCCACAGCACCACTTCCAGATTTTTTTTTTGCTTATGTGGTGCTGAGGAATTGAACCCAGGGCCTCAGACATACAAGGCAAGCGCTTTACCACTGAGCCACCTTCCCAGCCCCACCAGGGACACTTTTTAAGATACCTCTGCCTGTGCCCCACTCTTAGTTATAAATTAACTAGTAAGATGAGGTCCAGGAGTCACTCTCTAGTTTTCCAGGTGAATCTAATGCTCATCCATCAGAGTACACCCTGTATGGCTTGCCACTGGTTAGGTAGAGCCCCTGGCTCAGAGCTACCCTGCAAAGAACTACTCTTCCTTGTAACTTGTCCTTTAAACTCTGCCACCACTGTCTTCTGTACAGAGAACCATGGCCCCATAATAACATTTTTATTTCTATGAATGAAAATTGGATGTTTCATGGCATTTCTAGACCTTGTTTCCCTATTATTATTTTGAGTAATCATGAGAATGGTGCTTTAGAATTTGAAAGAGGACATTTTCACTGTGCTTCTAAAGAATAGGCAAGCTCAGACCTTGCAAAGACTCATTTAAATTGCTGAGATAATCATCTTGATAATAATAGAATTGTAGAAAATATATTTATATTTAGAGTGTCGGCATATACACACATTTTGCTCTTCAAATGAAGAGAATCAAAAAGCTGAAACACACACACACACACCACAATAAGCTTTATTCTTCTATACTCGATAAGACTGTATTTTAACTCTACATACTTCCAGATAAACAAAAATCTGTTTTGTATTCTTCCTTCCTTTACTGTTACCATTGCATTACATGACCAACAATTTCTATACCTTTCAAAATGTTCTTAAAGCTAGGTGATGGTGCCACTGGGGAACAACCCATAATTCCATCTTCAATGTGGAATGAGAAGAAAAGTTGTCAGTCAAAGCAAGTGCTATGTGTATCTAGGATTGGCCACAAAAAATTTCAGAATCTGATGCAGATTGAAAATGTGGGAACTACTGTTCCAAAATAATTAAGACCCATGAGATGGACCGGCAGAATGTTAAACCAAGCATAATGCCTTTCAGAATGGAGGGCCGTGGGTGAAGACACGGGATGATCTGACCCAGTGATACATGCCTGAATTAATGGCCTCAGTGTCAGCTTTGCACAAATAGACTTTGTCTTCATAAGGATAGGTAAGAGTAAAAATATTGTTCCAGTTAAATTTAAGTATCTTCTCTCTGAGGCTATACACTTGGACCTAGGGGTTTTCTCTTAGGCTAAACAATGGTGACTAAAAGTAACCAACCACATGTTTTAGAACTATCTCCGCAGCACTATATCAGACTCTTTTTAGTACTTTGGAGATAGCAGGATACACATCACAGATAAAATATATCAACTCGGGAAAGCTTTTGACTTCCAGAAAATTCTATAGCAAGTATATTTTTGTAGGAGATTAATTATTCTAAAAACATATTCAATGCTGAAAATCTGTACCATAATTTGGAAACTGTTAACTCTGCATTCATGGAAACTAATTTTTTTGAAATAAGAACGACAATTTGGGACTGGGAAGTGGCTTAATGGTAGCGTGCTTGCCTAACACCCATAAAGCCCTGCATTCGATTCCTCAGTACCACATACACAGAATACACCAAAAGTGGTGCTGTGGCTCAAGTGGTAGAGAGCAAAATAAGCTCAGGGACAGTGCCCAGGTGCTGAGTTCAAGCCCCAAGACTGGCAAAAAAAAAAAATTGAAAGTAAGTTTCTGGAGCAAATTCTCATCTTTGGTTTGATGGGCTCTGCTTTTTATGATTATGTAATAAATTAGTAATTATATTCAACAATATGAAGAAAATAAAACAAGTTGGGATATGTTCGGTTGGTTTATTTTGAATTTCATTTAACCTGCCTAAAAATTCTTATTTATTTATTTATTTATTTTTGTCTTTTGAGATGAGGTCTCACTATGTTAACCCAGGCTGGCCTTGAATTCATGATTCTCCTGCTTTAGTCTCTATCTGCTGAGATCATAGGCATATGCTACCATTCTTGGCCCGACCCAATAATTTGTATTAATAAATTCAATTCTAGTCTGTGTATTTGCTTGAATATTCTCCAAGACTCATTTCAGGACAGGTGGCAAAAAACTTAAAACACATACACTTCTCTAGAGCACCTATCCAGAAAGCTGAGCTGGCCTCCTACACAGTGTAGCATCCTCCCTTGCTAGTATTATAATTACAATTGTTTGTTTAAATAAAACAAATAATCTGATATCTTGTATATATTTTAATGTTTAAAATTACAGATAGTGCTGTACCTCAAATTTGTTCTTTGTCTTTTTATTTTTGCCGTTCTGGGGCCTTGAAATCTGGGCTTGGGCACTATATATGAGCTCCTTTTTACTCAAGGCTAGTGCTCTACCACTTGAGCCACAGCACCACTAGTGGCTTTTTTTTGTGATTAATTGGAGATAAGAGTCTCACAGACTTTCCTGCCTGGGCTGGCTGGTTTGAACTGCCATCCTCAGACCTCAGCCTCCTCAGTACCTAGGAAGATATTATTATTGAGAATTCATTACCTACCAGACTCTACGCTGAACTGGAAACTGACATATGGAACAAAACTAACTCGAGCTCAGTCTTAACAGTCTCTATAATACACTGGTGTTTCTTGGAAGTTAAAGATAGATTGATGTCTGTAAAATATGGTTCTACTCATGCAGTGAACTTGAGACGAGCTCATTAGGATGAGGCCTTGATGAATAGGAATGGTATCTGTATAAGCAGAGAAGTGACATGCAGGACAAGCCTCACATGCTGAAGGTGGGGACTGAAATGATGCTTCTATAGGCCTAGGAACACCCGATGGTACTGAAGCTGGGGGAGGCAAAGAAGGATGTTCCTGTCAAAACCTGTAAGGGAGCCACACTCTGATTCAGACTTCTAGCCTCCTGAACCATGAAAGGGTATCTTTTGATTGGTTTAAACCACCCAGTTTGTGGTATAGTAACTTTTTTGCAACATCCCTAGGATAATAATACAGCTCAGCATTAATAACTAACAGCTTGTGGAAGATTTCTCTTTGGAGGAATAGAATATAATTTATATTCATTGTAAACCAGTTTGATATTTTCTTTCTTATAAAAAACTTCACTGCATGTAAAATATGTGAGAATGATAACATTCTTCATATTTCTAATAACTCAATAAATAAAAGAGACATACCTCCTCTAAAATTGTAGTAATTTCTGAAGGATAAATCATTGCAAAGATTTATGGTCAAAATGTTTATCAGCATTCTCTGAAATAATAATTTAAAAAAAAAACCGGAAACTAGGCACCAGTGGCCCAAGCCTGTAATCCTAGCTACTCAGGAGGCTGAGATCTGAGGATTATGGTTCAAAGCCTGTCTGGCCAGGAAAGTCTGTGAGACTCTTGTGTCCAATAAACCACCAGAAAACCGGAAGTTACACTGTGGCTCAAGTAGAGTGCTAGCCTTGAGCTGAAGAGCTAAGAGACAGCAGCCAGGCCCAGAGTTCAAACCTCACAACCAGGGGGGAAAAAACAAAACCAGAAACAGCCTAAATGTCTATACCTAGAGATTGATTAATTAAATCCCACCTCTACAGTGAAATACAATGAAGCCCAGAAGAAGGTAAGATAGATCAAAGTGTATTTGCATCCATTAGATCTATGGCATATTGAAAAATAAATAAGGTAGGCATAGCACAACAAAGCACTAAGATTATATTCAAGTTAAGAGTAGGTTTTGTACAAAAAGTTTAAGAGAAAATACACACATTATGCTGTTGAAGATTTTTATACTTTGCATTTATTCTTTCTTTTGGATTTGGAATAAATTGAAATTCCCATTATTATTTTGAGCTTCTCAACAAGAAGGGCAAAGAATTAGTGTAAGAAATGTGGCTGAAGTGGTAGAGGGCTTGTCCAGCAAGCATGGGGCCCTAGGTTCAAACCTCAGTATTGCCAAAAAGGAAAAGAAATGCCCTTTACATTTGCTTTCGTTTATATCATGCCTTACTAAAAACACAGAAAAATTGTTTCTCAAGGTGAAAAAAAAAGTCATGTGAAGTCAATTATCAAGCACTGATATCACAGCTCGTATCAGAACCTCTGAGCACAAAAATGACCCTGTGGAAGGTTTCTGCTTTACCCAAATGTACCTAATTTGATCTGTTCCTGCAGAGGCTGGCTGGGAGGAGCTGGAGTTGGGGGAAGGGGGACCTCCTGGGGGGCTCCCTATGCAGTCAGTAAGAGCTGCCTTGCCTGGCCAGCTCCTCCCCACGCCACAGCATGTGGCCACACTGGGCTCTCTAGCTCATGTTTGTGGTCCCCTAAGAGGTGCATGCAGCCCTGTTTTCATCTGTTCTGAATACCAGGTTCTTTTCTAAGCATTTTCTCATTAGTAGGAGTGCCTAAAGCTCACTGCCTGCTGCTTTGGCAAATGTTTTCCCTTCTGTGGCCTTGGTTGTGAGTCTGGGTGCATGTTGCCCCTGGCACTCTGACAGGAAAGATGTTTAAGGGTTCAGGGACATACCAAGGAATGCAAGTCCACTTTTGTTTGTTTGTGGCAGCAGTGGGGCTTAAACTCAAGGCCTGGGCCCTGTCCTTTAGCCTTTTCTGCTCAAGGCTGGTATAAACCCACTTGAGCTACAGTTCTGCTTCTGACTTTTGGCTGGTTAATTGGAGATGAGAGTCTTTCAGGCTTTCTTACTTCAGTTGGCTCTGAACTGTGATTCTCAGCCTCCTGAGTAGCTAGGATTACAGGTGTGGTCTATCTGTGACCAGTTAGGGGAGTCCATCTGTAGAACCTCAGCAGTACTTCTTTGTCTGTCATAAAAGATGGGCAGTTATTTGAGGACCAAATTCAGATGATCTCACTTACACTTAAGAATTAAGATGACTCCCTAGTTTCTGGCAGAGAAATCCACCTGTTATTCACAGCCATATAAAAGGTTTATGGCTGAAGAGTGCCTTCCATCACCAGGTTGGGGTGAGGGACAGCAAAGTGCCTTCTCCAGTGTCTCTCCACAAATGGTACACCTTCCTTTAATCACCACAAAGTACCTGCTCTACCAAACAGCCAACTGCTAAGGGTAGCCCCTGAGCATGGACACAAACAGCTGACAGGTCCAGGCTCTGCTCTGCACAATCCATGGTTCTGGAAAGCAAAGGAAATAAGCCTTCATTTTTCTTGAAACACCTCCTTCTCAAAATAGCAGGAACCATCTGTAGCCTTCATCAAGTAGATGGGTTTGATGCCTTTAATCTGCAGAGACTCAAAGGAGTCAGACTCCCAAGATGTGAGTCTCCAGTATGTGGTGTGGACACAGGCCAGCACTTTGGGGACAATCCATTTGGGTCTGCACCAGATGGAGCAAGAGCAGGTTTGCAAAAGAATGGCAAATGAGTTTGTGAATGTGTTTAATGCTGGGTGCCTATAATCCTAGCTACTCAGGAAGCTGAGATCTGAGGGTAGCAGCTCAAAGCCAACCTGGGTAGGTAAATCTATGAGATTATTCTCTCCAATTAAGTACAAAAAAGCCAGAAGTGAGGCCAGGCCTTGATGGCTCACACCTATAATCTTAGTTACTCCAGAGAGTGAAATCTGCAGATTGAGATTCAAAGCCAGTCTGCATAAGAAAGTCTGTAAGACTCTTATCTCCAAATAACCACCTGAAAACTAGAAGTAGAGCTATGCCTCAAAGTGGCATAGCACTAGCCTTGATTTAAAAAAAAACCCTCTGGTACAATGTCCAGGCCCTGAGTTCAATCCCCATAATAAGAACAAAAAAGCTAGAAGTGAGGCTGTGGCTTGAGTAATAAAGTGTTAGTCTTGAGCAGAGGGAAAAAAAAGCAAAGGAAGGAAATCTTAATTTTATCACATAGTATCTTTTCAGTAAAACTTCAAAGAAAAAATAATTTCCATTCTCTGTCAACATCAGAGACCAAGAAATTTAAATAGCATCCTTCTTTGATGAATTATTCTAATCAATGCAAATTGGCTTCTGAGTCTAAAGAAAATTAGACAGAACTACAATCAATTGATAATGCTACCAATTCCCATTTATTTTTATCAGCTTTATTGAAGTTACTTTACATAAAAATCAATAATTATTAAACATAAAATTTGAAGAGTTTTAATAAATATGTATTTACCACTATAGTCAAAGAGCAATTCCAAGCTAGGCACTGTTGTCTCATTGTACTTTAGCTATGCAGGAGGCTGAGCTCTGAGAGTTGTGGTCCAAAGCCAGCCTAGGCAGAAAACCTCATGAGACTCTTATCTGCAATTAACCAACAAAGAGCCAAAAGTAGAGTTGTGGCTCAAATGGTAGAATGTTAGCCCTAAACAAAAAAGCCAAGTTAGAGTGTGAGGCCCTGAGTTCAAGCCCTAGTACCAGCAAAGAAAGGGAAGGAAGAAAGAGAGAGAGAGAAGGAAGGAAGGAAGGAAGGAAGGAAAGAAGGAAGGAAGGAAAGAAGGAAAGAAAAAAAAGGAAGGAAGAACAATTCCGTTGTTCCAGAAAGTTCTCTTGTGTCTCTTTGTAGTAAAATTTCTCTGACTACTTCTAACCCCTAACAACCACTAAGACATTTTTACCACGGCCTCATAGAATATGTTGTCTTTTGTGTCTGGAGTTTTTCACATTACATAATGTTTTTGGAAATCATCTATGTTGCCTAAACAAAATATTGTCTCGGAAGGCTCATTTTCTGCACGGCTTTCCTGCAGTTCACTCTGGAACCAAATATCAAATTTCATTTTTTGTTATCCTGTGTCTGTGATGATCTATGCCAATGCCTCCTTCCATATCTTAGATTACTGAGAAACCCCATTGTTGCTGTGTATACGAGATAAGGGATGATAGGAAGCATTTATTTCAGAAGCTTCATTTCCTCTGCTTTTGAAATAGTGCAGGGAGAGAACACAGTATCCTCCACTACGGCCGAAAGGCAAACAACTAGCATGGCCAACAGAAGAGTTCAGTAGCACCTGAAGTCAGCAGAGAACCATAGAAAGAACACCGTCTGGAGCAGTGTTTGTTAAACTTTAACATGCACATGGATTTCCTGCCATGCAGATTCTACTTCTATAGGTCTGGGTTGAGGCCTGAGAGTCTGCATTTCCTCAACGCTCCCAGGGGAGGCTGAGGCTGCTACTTCCTGCCCATACTTGGCATGGCAAGACTCTACCACATAAAGCAGATGCTGTGAATGGGGTGAGCATGGTATCCCATGATCTCTGCCCCCTGGTTTTCACACTATGTCCTCTCCTTGAATATAAACTGGGCTGACTGGCTTCCAACAAATGAAATATCACGAAAGTGATACGATGTCACTCCCAAGATTAGGCGATCTATGTTTGTATTTTTCATCTTATTAACCGCCTCTCATTCTCTTATTCTGACAAGCTCAACTTTGAGGGAGCCATCTGTCATGCCACAGAATACCCTATAGGAAAGTCTATATAGCCAGGAACCAGGGAGGCCGCCAGTCACCAGCTCCTCAGTAACAAGCGTAGCAGGGAGAACATGGCTCTTTCCAGCGGAGCCTGGTGAGTATCCACAGCCAGAGGATGCCATGCTAGGATTCCTATCCAACAGAAATGATAAGAAAATAAAGATGGGAGTTTTAAGCCTTAAATTCAGGGGTCATTTGTTTGTATGAATGGATAGCCACTACATTTCTGGATCATTCTTAAGATTTAAACAGGCACAGTAATTACTATACATGAAAAATAACTGAGCACCGTGCTTGGAATAGGAGAGTTGCATGATAATGCCAGTCAAATCCCAAACCACCAGAGTCAGACCCCCAAGATCTGCAGCTGTAGCCACTAACCTGAGAATAGTTCATATGTATAAAGTCTGCCAGTTCTGTCAGGAAACCATCAGACCAGAAAATCTGATTGTACAAAGACAAAGACCCAACTAAATGCCCATGTGTGTTTCACATAGATACATAATCAATCCCACTTTTGCATATCTGTCTGTCTCTATCTATCTCTATAGCCAGCTATCTATATCTGCATGTCCTATGCAATCCTACTTTGTAAGACTAGTTTTCCCACAGTTTTGGGGCTGGATGGTGTACCAACAGGCTCTCAGGTGATGATGAATGCAATGACGGTATAAGAGGGGAGTGGCAAGCATCACTGTGAATGGAAACTCTCAAGAAGCATTTAAGGGAATTAGCCCCGGGCTCAGAGCTGCCATTCTCTTAACAACCATCAGTGCCCTTCATTCCCAATGGTAAGAAAAAAAGACTATAATCAGCATTCAAGCACCTTGCATGCCTGGAGAGCTGTTTGCTTTCCTTTTGCCTCCCTTTAGATTTTAGCCGGTGCCACCACAAATCACTCAGGCAGCTAGGACTAGCTATGAGGTAATGAGGTGGTACTGAAGAGGCTATGTGCAGTCATGGGTGGAGCACTGAAACCAGTGTTTGAAACTGGGTCAGTGCTACCAAACCCTGTATGCTAATGACTATGAGAGCTCCTGAGACCATATGCACTCAGTAAACCTTTATGTGGTGACTACTATATATACACAGTGCTCAGATGTAGTGAGCCTGAGAGAGCAAACATAATCAGGCACCACCTGGTGGTGTGACCATGTAGCTTCACAGCTGACTAACAGAAAAGCCTGTGTTAAATTATCATCCATCAGTCATCCATCATCTGCTGGTGCCTGCTCTGTCCCAGCCTGGGATTGGGCCAGGGATGTAAAGGTGGATCTCTTGACTAGGAAGACAAGACAGGTGAAGATGCCACAAATGCCAATGTGGCAAGAGTTCTTTCTGACTAAGGGCCTAGAAAAACCTCCCAGAAACACGTGAGTTAAATCCTGAGGTACAAATTGAATCTGAACACGCAAGTCAGAGAATTCTAGATGGAGTGAAGGTAGGTGTCAAAAGACAAAGACAACAAAGGATAGAAAGGTGAGCCAAGAAATATAAATTTTAAAGCTGGACACCAGTGGCTCATGCCTGTAATCCTAACCACTTAGGAGGCTGAGATCTGAGGATCATGGTTCAACACCAGTCCAGGCAGATAAATCAGAGAGACGCTTATCTCCAATTAACCAACAGAAAGCCAGGAGTGAAGGTGAGTGCTTGAATGAAAAAGCCAACCAAGAGCTTCTGGCCCCTAGTTCAAGCCCCAGTACCTACACACACACTACAGTAAAATGCCATGATAGGAGCATCAGCTAAATAGCAAAAGAGTGGAAGCTAAGAGTGAAATGGCAAAATTGAAAAGGTCTCAAACCTGAGCAGAAGAGGCTGGGTTTATTCTTCCGGTAACTGCATGAGTGACATTTTAGGGCAATCCAATAGTGATATGCCCTCATATTAGCATGCATGTTAGTTACCTTTGCATTGCTATGACAAAAATACCTGGTGCACACCACAGAGGAAGGATTTATTTGCCTCATGGTTTCAGAAGGCTCGGTACTTGGTCATTTGGTTCTGTGTCTATGGGCTTGTGGTGAGGCAGTGCATCATGGCTGGGGAAACATGGCAGAGGGTCACAATTACCTCACGGTAGAAAGGAGCAGAAGGGTAGTGAGAGACCAGGGAACTAGGTATAACCTTGAAAAACACATCCCTCACCCCCTCCCCCACCCTCCCCCACAAGTGACCCTACCTCCAACTTGGCTACACCTCCCAAAGTTTCCATTACTTCATTCAACACAGGAGCCTGTAGAGGATATTCCTTATTCAAGTCATAACAAGGACAGACACCCATAGCCACCCATGGGCTATAAAACACATATTCTGAATTTTTACAGCCAGAGCTCATGTATAATCTGTATATTCCAACCACTATCCAGAAGGGAAGAACCGAAAAATCCAATCTCCCTTTTCTTGAAGAAAGTATGAGAACAGAATGAAAAGAACCTGGGAAGTAGGAAGTCATGCGCCATCCCTGGGCAAGCCAAGTCTGCCGCCCAGGCCTTTCACATTATGTAGAAGGGACAGAGCTAGGGTCTGAAAAAAGATTCCTTCTATGTCTACCCACGTCTTCATAAGCCTGAGAGTCTCCTTCCCAGGGAAAACTTTGAATCTCCTTGACTGTTTCTCTTATAAAAGAGCACTGATCCCATTTACAAAGGCACTGTATCAGTTCCATAAAATCCCACTGATGCTGCCATTAGAAACCACTCTGTGACAAGGGAGCAACATTTCTGTGGGGTCACCCAGCCACACCCAGTGTAAAGAACCTGAACGAGTGTCTGGCACATAAAGATATTTTTGTGGTGCCAATATTCACCTCAACACTGGCTTAAACCAGATATGTAAACACCAACAAGCCACAATCCAGAGCCATTTGGAAAGAAATGGAAGAAAAGTTGATTGTAGAAAAGCTGGGTGTTTCCAGCCCTTT